TGTATTTTACTTCAATCACTCGCTTCAAAAAAATAAAAAATAAAAAAATAAAACCTGACCCGACTGTACCAGGCAGGAAGCAGTTTATAGATTAAGTCAAACCATTACAAACTCATAAAATGGGATAAAACAGACGTTTTACATGGTGGAATGTCACTGATTAAAACATAGGAGCTTAATCCGAGACCAGTTTGAGAATGAATAACGTCGGGAGACGAGTCTGACATTTTTTCCCCCACATTGGACTCCATTGGGAAGAAACCCGTGCATACTGCCTGCTTAAATGTTCGCTACGTCAGAACTTATTTGCCAAATGTGTTTCCATCTCTGCTATTGCGCATTAACTCTTACAGGATGGGGAATTGGTCTTGGCGGAGGTTTGCACTCTCCGAGTGCTTCTAGTTCTGCATTCTTTTATCATGCTGAACAAAGTACTCAATTTCCTTACTTGAGTCAAAGTACTGATCCAACTGGTCAAATATTTATTATTGTTTTGTTATTTATGTTTATTCATTTCTATATACAAAAAACCCAACAAATTCAATATACAATAAAAATACAAACCATAAATTAAATGAAAGGTAGCAGAAGAAGAAAACATAAAAAACTCTTTCTAAAATATTACTCCAATAAAAGTAAAAGTATCTTTGTCAAATTATTACTTGAGTATTAATTTGACAAAGCTGAGGAAACATTTCACAGTGATCTTTTTGTTGTTATTTGTAAAGTTTGTACTAGCTTGCTGAACTGAAATAAACATTTGTTYCAATAAACTAGAAACAAAACACAAAAGTGACTGGATGTTAAAACTTCCTTCATTAATCAGCACAGCACTGGTGTTGAGCATGTCCTTGTTGTTGGAGGATGATCACCTGGTGCCCCAGATGAAAAACACATCATCTAATACATTCCAGCCTTTCATAACAATACACATAAACGTCTAAAACACTAACTTAGGGCTTAAATGAGATGAGTCCATGGTAATATCTGAACTAATCTGGATCTAAACAAAGACTTGCAATAGTGCTGAAACATGTCTAGTATACCTAGTTTATCTATAAGGCAACACTAATAGGATAATAATGGACAAATTCTAAAAGAAACAATAAATGGGGACTTGATGATGATCTTAAAAAAATCAAAGACTTTTTTATTTGATAAACAAATTAAGTGAGGAGAGCGCATTTCCAACTGCTTGGGATATTATTATATATTATGACATTTCCTACTCCTGTTTTCAAATCTGGGAACAAACATGAAGCATGCATTTACAGGCCCATCAGCATGCTTCCTGAGTATTGAAAGCTTTCCAGAAAGAAAAAGAAAATCAATGGCAGGTTTTGAACTCTATCTTGACTTAAAGTCCAACATGTTCAGAGCACAGACCTCTCTGATCTCCAATATGTTTTAATTCTGAAAATGTGCTGAATCTTTGACATCTTCCCACCAGTAGATGGAGTTATAGAGCTCATTAAAAAACCCATTTAAACACACACACACCTCTCCCTGGCTTGAATTCATTTAGCAACAGAGACAAAAACAGTGGCACATTGTGGTTTGAGCAGTAAAATCTATTGCGTTTTATTAAAAGCAGTGYCAGATATGTTGTTAGCAGTGAAATACAGTGAGATWAAAAAAAAATCAGTCAGTGTGGGTGTGTCGCTTGGCGTTTGCACTCTGTCCTCTGTCGTCTACATTTGGTTGAGCTGTTCGGTGCTCTGGTTGTAGATGGGGTTTTGGTATTGGCAGTCTGAGAGGGAGGCGGCTGAAAAATGGGAGAGCAGTTCAGTGCAAGTTATTTTATTYTACATACATAAGGCACACGTCAAATCAGCACTCACTGTTAGCATCGGTGAATGCCGGAAAAGTTTTTTTTTCTTTTGTGGTAAACAACTCAGATTCCAATAAAGGTGAGATATGTGTAAAATGTTCATATAAGCAAACAAACTCACAAAAAAGCAATAATCTGCAAACCTCATAAACCTGGATTTTATTCACYATGAAATATTGTAAAAATAGATGTGGTTTAGCATTGTCTTGCTGAAATATGCAAGGCCTTGTCTGAAAAAGATGTCATCTGAATGGAAGCATATATACTCTTAAAACCTGTATCCAGGGCCAGACAGTGGTATAGGCAGGATGGACAAATGTTAAGGGCGCTGCTCATCTTCAGGGCCACACTGCCACAAATGGGGGACAAAAATTACACACACACACACACACACACACACACACACACACACACACACACACA